AAGGCTTATTAATTTTAAAAAATCAGCTCTTCATACTGCTTTTTTAGCCTCTATTTTGTTTCTGATCTAATCTTTTACTAATTCTGGCTTTGATTTGTTCCTGCTCTTCTAATTCTTTGAGTTGCATAATTACATTGTTTGGTTTGAATTTTGTTTTCTTCTCTCCCTTATTTATTCTTCTGTTGTTTCTTTTCTCGTGTCTTTTCTCTTCTTTCTCTCTCTTTTCTCCCATCCTTTCTCTCTCCTGTCTTCCTGTCCTCCTTATTTTTCTCATAGACACAATTACTATAAACTTTCCTCTGAATTCTGTTTTCATTTTCTATGTTGTCCCAAAGGTTTTGAATTGTGTTTCCATTTTCATTTGTTTCAAGAAGTTTTTTTTTCTTTTGATTTCATCAGTCCATTGGTTGTTTAAGAAAATGTGGCTTATTTTTTATTAGATTTTATTGGTATGTTTTAGATATTCATAATGATCACATTCATCATAGAGAATTTGTACCTGTACATGATATAATTTGTTTTTCTCTCATTTCCCTACTCTCCCTTCAGCCCCTTCTCCCCTCCCATTTACAAAGCTTTGTTTCCATGTTTTCCTTCTTTCTCATTTTTTAACTTTTCCCTTCTTTCCTTTCTCCCTCACCTCTCTTTTGTTCCCCTCCCCATTTGAACATTTTCTTCCTGTTTCAAAATACATCTTCATCTTTATTTACAGAGAATGTTGTTTAATTTCCATGTATTTGTACAATTTCTAAAGTTTCTCTTGTTTTTTTATTTGTAGTTTTACTTTATTGTAGTCACAGAAGATACATATTATGGTTTCAACTTTTAAAGATTTGTCAAGACTTGTTTTGTGATCTAACATATGAGGCATCCTGGAGAATATTCTGTATGTTAATGAGAAGAATGTGTATTCTGCAACTGTTGGATGAAATGCTTTATAAATGTCTGTTAGGTCTATAGTACAGTTTAATGCCAATGTTTTATGCTTGATTTTTTTGCCTGGATTTTTCTGCCTCTTTATTAAAGGGGGGTATTAATGCCTTAGTGTCTATTTTTCCTTTTAGATCTACTATTGCTTGTTTTATATAGGTAAATGCTACAGCATTGGGAGCCTACATATGACTGTTATTTCTTGTTGTTGAATTGATAGGTTTATAGGTTATCTTCATATAATATCTTTTTTTATATCTTTTTGCAGCTTTAATTTAAAGTTTATTTTTTCAAACATAGGTAGGGCTACTCTCTGTTTTGGCACCTGTTTGCAAGGGATACTTTCCTTTATCCATTCACTTTCAGTCTTTGTGAGTTTTTACTGGTGAAACAAGTTTCTTATAGGTAGCATATCATTGGGTCTAGCATTTGTTTTTTCATCTTTTAAGCCAATCCATATCTTCTAATTGGAAGAATTTAATCCACTTACATTTAAAGTTATTACAGTAACTAAAGATATGCTTCTGTCATTCTGTTAATTTTTTTCTGATAGTTTTATATATTTTTTGTTCCTTTGTTCTTCTCTTATTCACTTTTGGTGTTTACTGCTTTTATGTGTTGATAACATTTGATTCTCTTTCTCTTTTGTGTATCTGCTGTACTGTTGTATTTTATACTTACTTATGTTTTCTTTGTCATAGTTTTCATCATTACCCTTCTAGAGTTGACTCCTAAGCATTATTTGTAGGGCCAGCCTGCTGGTGGTAAATTCACCCAGTTTTTACTTTTCTTGGTGCAAGTAAAAAAAAACAAAAACAACAACAACAACAAAACCCAAAGTAAAAATGCCTTCATTGCAGGCACAAAGAAGACCACTAAAGGAAGAAGAGACATGGAGATTTTGAGGGCCATGGCAGGGGGAACAATTGCTATATAGGGCCAGGCTGGAGGTAGGGTCTAGGGGGCAGTCTGTGTGACATGGCAAATAGTGATTGGGCAGGAGATGGAAAAAAGGAAATAGGATGTTGTGAAAAGGAAGTAGGAAGTTGTAATTTGACCAGGGAGGAGAAACCAGGGCTTGGCACATGGCTTCCCATGGCTTGCACCATATTGGCTCACTGCTATGATGATTTAGCAGGATTTTTATTTAGGCAGAAACCCATCAATGTTGATATTCAGTTTTCCCTGTATCATTTATTGAAAAGACTGTCCTTTCTCCAGTGTATTCTTGTTAACTTTGTTGAAATTCAGCTGACTGTATATGTGTAGATTTATTCCTGATCCCAATACAGGAAGTCATTGACACTGCTTCTAAATCTTTGCAGTATCTGCAGGTAGCTATTTTTTTTTTAGATTGTGTTGGATAAAAGATAAACAGCACATGTGGTTTCTTGGTCCTGTTAGTGTTTGTCTCCCTTAGTAGCAGAAAATACTTAGAAAACTCATATTTATTTCCCATGTATGAGATTCTACTAGAGTGGAAAAATGGAGGAGAGAATTCTATTAGACCAAGGAGGAGGTAGTAATGGAGGGAAGAGTGTAGCCTTCAGTATGAAAGAATGGAGCAAGCAACCCTGGAAGTGTTCTCTGCTCTGCAGTTTTCTACCACAAATCAAAACCCAGCCCAACACTGGATGGAGGTACTGCATCAAGCCTGCAGTTTCTTGACCCCATGTGTTAGTCAGCTTCTGTAACTGTAAAAAAAAAACCTGACATAATCAGTTTAAAGAGATAAAAAATTAATTTTAACTCAGGTGTGGAGGTTGCAACCCATGGTCAGTCGTCTCTATTGCTTTGAAGCCTCTGGTGAGTCAGTATATCATGATACAGTGACTGGTAGAGCAAGCTACCCACTTCACAGCACCCAAGAGCAAAAAGAGAGAGTAACTGACTGAAATCCCACAATCCCTTTTTAGGGCAAATCCTCAATGATGTAAAGCCTCTGAATAGACCCACCTGTTAAAATTTCTGCCACCTTCCAATTAGCACCAAGCTGAGGACCAAATTTTCAACACATGGGCTTTTGGGAACATTCCATTTTCAACCTATAGCACCCTATATGAGAACAGAGAGGACATTTATTATAGAAAGATAATCAGTAGAAAGAATGGAGAATCAGGAAATTAGAGGAAGTAAAGGGATTTGTACCTAGGGACTGCAATTGAATTTCAAATAAACCATAAAAGCCTTCAGGTTGTGCTTTGGTTCAACAGTAATGAATCAATCTTAAATCTTGAGTCATTAAACTTTTTCACAATCCTAAGATTGATCCATACATACACATAGAGAAAGGTAGAGATTGAGCTTTCGGAAGTTCATACTCAAAAGGAGCCAAGTTAGTACAAAGTATCTTTGATGCCTCCTGTAAATCTAATTGTAGCATCTATAGGCAACTTTTCTTTTTAAGATTATATTGCACAAAATAGATATAGGTTACCCTGGGATGCCCTTACTTCAGACCTATAGTTTCTTGACCCAATGTGAGAGCAGAGAAGACACCTATGGTGGTGAAAGTAAGGAATAAACAGAGGGTCCTGAGAATCAGGAAATTACATGGCTTGAAAGTGGATTTGTATTTAGAAACTGCAGTTGAATTGAAAATAAATCAAACTACAAAATGCTGACACTGTCATCAGGTTCAACTGTGAAACACTGAACATAAGGATTCAGACATTAAACTTGTCCACAAGTCACATGCTCATTAAAACATAAAAATTCATTTCTATAAAAAAATAGAAGCTATAAAATAACTGATGTAGGTGTAAGTTAAGAGTCAACAAGTTTATAAGTTGTACAGAAATTATAGCTATTTTGTACCTTAAATTTAAGGTTAGTAAGTCACGTGGTATCTGACCATGGATATTTTTAAAATCCTTTAGCACTGACCCATATGAATTTTTATCAGTTAGTACACTATGATGGAACTGCCTGTGAGATGTGACACACACACACACACACACACACACACACACACACATTTATATATATTCAAATACATATGAATGAATTACAAGTAGATATTTACTATGTAAAAGTGCACACAAACATACAACAGTATATGCACTCATACATATATACACAGAGAAAGAGAAAAACTAGGATTTGGGATATTCATAGCATGACACTACAGAGTGTCTTTGACATTATTTCTAAGTGATCATTAGAATGGGATAAAGGAATATGTTCCAACAAAGTGAAGTTAAATTTAAAATAGATTATACCACAAAACAGTTATTACTAATTCAGATTCAGAAGTAAATAGCTATACTTAAAACTTTAGTCGTTACATTTTGACATGACTAAAACACAACAAAACATAATTTCTAGAGAATAGGACCTACTAGATTCTAAATAACTTACATGTGAAGTTTTTAAGGATAGTTTGTATATTGCAGCAGCTTATTTGAATTTAAATTGTCTTATCTTTTGATCTTTTAGCAAAGTTCCATCTGAAGTCAGAGCAGCATCCTTATGTGAATTCACCAGTGAAAAGTAAGGCATAAATAAGTGCACACACACACACACACACACACACACACACATATATAATATACATATATGTAAGCATACACAACATATTGAGAGATTGAGATATGAGATAGTCTCTGTAGGAGCATCTGTGAGAGTATAAAGTTCCAATGTCTTCTCATGGTAAGATCTGTGTGGAAAACTCTTTGTCTTTTGATATGAGGTAGAAAAGAGTTAAATCATAGAGTGAGTCTTCTTAACTCTGGAGTTTGTCACAGTTAGTTATCATTGCATATGAAATTCTGTTGGCCAGAGGAGGAGAGAATTCCAGTTGGAGCCAGCAGGAGGTAGCAGCAGACAGGGAGCTGAGGAGGCTTCAGTGGAAAACAACGAAGCTGGGAGTCTTGAGAGTTCCTCACCCTCCAGAACTCTGCCACCATGAGAGGCTCAAGCTCCAAACATATACCCATCATCAGACAGATGGAAGCTCCTGCCTCATCCTGGAATTTCTTGACTGTGAGAGCAGAGACCCAAGTTTGAAAGTAAAATAAGAAGTGGATGCTGACTTAAGAAACAGGAATTTAGATGAGGTGAAATTACAATTGAAGCAGAAGCTGCTACCTAGAAAATTGGGCACCAAGAAGCTGCAGTTGAATCAGAAATTAATTCACGGAATGCTTTCCTATTGTGGTTAGGTTGAAGAATAAAGGACCGAACTTAAGTCTTGCATCATTAAAGTTTTTATACACCAATTATATTCATTATAAACATATAAAGGCACCTTTCTGTAAACAAATGATGAATAAGTTTACAAAGAACTGGTTTATAGGTGAAGAAAGTATAACTTGTGGAATAATATTAGCTAATTTGAACTAGAAAAAATTAAATCAAGGAAATCGTGTGTTGGACTATATGTATTTTTAAATCTCTCAGCACTACTCCACATGAATTCAAATCAGAACCCTGCAATGGAATTACTGGTAAACTGTGAGATATATATAGAATCAGATGAATACATATTGATAAGTAGAAATGAAGCTATAGGCACATAGGTCTACACCACATATATATGCCCGAACTACAAAGGCTGCAATTTGGAAGTTCACAGTTTGTCCATACAGAATATCACTGGTATCATTTCAAAATGGTCCCCCTCTAGCATATGCAGGCATCTTCCTATCTGTTGGAATCAATTTGGATATAAGGAATTAGAAGTTTCCTGCAGAGTGAAGTTGGGTTTAAAATGAATTGCACCACATAAGTTGCTACATGTTGATTCAGGTTCGGTATTAAACAACTGTACTTAAATTTGTGTCATTACATTTGTGATAGAACTAAAATATTTGTTACAATCCTGTCTAGCATCATTTCCAAGAAAAATGGTATATTCAATTCCAGAAACAGATTTGCACATGAAATTTTTAAAAGTCATCCAGCTCATAAGTTGAAGGGCAATTGTAACTTGTAATTTTAACTGATTTTTTTGTCATTCTGAGACAAGGTCTTCCTATGCAGCTCAGGCTGGCCTTGAGCTCACTTTGTAGCCCAGGCTGGTCTTGAACTCAGAACAATCCTCCTGCCTCAGCCTCCTGAATGCTGGAATTACAGACTTGTGCCACCATGCCCATTTTAACTAAAATATTAAGTCAGGGAGTACTTTTAAAATTTTTAGCACTCTCCTATCTACATCAAAAACAAGATAGTTGAGTCAATTCACCAATACAATGTGAAATATAAATTTATATTTATATGCATACATATAAATGTATGTACATACCTGCGTACAGACAAATTTATAGAGAGACTGATATTTGAGATGTTCACTGTCAGGTTATCTATGAGAATATAGCATTCCTTTCAACTTCTAGTATCTCCTCAGGGCAAGCTTCTGTATATAATATCCTTGCCTGTGGATGGAGGTGACAAGAGAAGGAAGAAGTCATACATGCAGTCTTTTCACTACTAGTGTTTCCCACCCCCAGTCAGCGCTTGCATGCTGCACTCTACCAGAGTGGAGGAGGGAAAGTAACCTGGACCAAGGCAGAAGGAGCATTGAAGCACGGATGAGAAGCATAGAGCTAGCATCCCTGGAGCGCCCCTCATCCTCAAGAGCTCCACTCCCAAGGGAGGCAGGTGCCCAAGGCCAATGCTTTCATTGCCTTGGATGGAGCCCTGTCCCAAGTCTACTTTCTTGTGACATCATGTGAGGAAAGAGAAGACATATGTGATGGTGAAAATAAGGAACCAATGAGGAGACCCGAGAATCAGAAATTTAGATGAAGTGAAAGATGTTTATTCCTAGAAATGGTAATTGAATATGAAATAAATGAAACAAAATTCATTCACATTGTGATTAAGGTCAGTAGTAAAGAACTGAACTTCAGTCATAGATCATTAAGCTTTTTCAGTCTAAATATCGTCATTAAAACATGTAAACACTCATCTCTATGGAAGGATGCAAGTTGTCAAATAACTACTTGTGACTTAAATGTTAATTATTTAATACATTATAATTTTAGTTAATTTGAACCGAAGTGTTAGGTCAGTCACACAGTGTCTTACTATGTTCCTTTTTAATCTTTAGAAGTGTCCTGCATGAGGTGAAATCAGTGGCCAGTGGTGGAATGTAAGATATAATGAAATACATGTATATGAATATACATACACGTGTGCATACATACACAATCTACAGTGAGATGTAGATTTAAGTATTCACTTTCGAGCACATTCATGGGAACACAGTTTCTCTGATGCTATTTCTAAATTCCTACCATGGCAAGCTTTTCTATGGAGTATTTTTTGTTTTTGGAATTGAAGTAGCAAAAGGAAGAGCAAGTCACAGAAGACATCTATTCAGTGCTGGTGTTTATCCCAAGGCCATACTCACCATCACTTTGAATGAAGACCCGTCTCCTGCTTGAATCTTCTTAACCCTACAAGAGCAGAATACAACAGGAAGAAGAGTGGGTGGAAATTATTAATACCTGCTTGTATGCATGTATGAAAACATCATAGTGAATCTCAAGATGTACAATTTTGTGTTAATAAAAATAGATACAAAATGTTTAAACTTGAAATAAATTAGACTATACAACATGAAAAATACTGTTACATATTTGGGCTAGGTTTAGTAGTAAAAAAAATTGTACTTAAATATTGTGTCACTGACTTTTGACATGTTTAAAGTTTTAACTTTTTAAATTGAGTTTTTCAAGGTCAACACATTTATAAGTTAAACAGTAATTGTAGCTAATTTGAACCAAAAATCAAATCTAGAAAATTATGTGGTGTCTAACTCTACATGTATATTTTTTAAATCCTTTAGCATTGCTTCATCTGAACTGACAACAGACACTCAGGAAGAAGACCTGGCTGAAAGGTGAGATCTAAATAAACACACATATGTGCACATATACACATATGTAAATATACCCAGAGACACATGTGACAAAACATGTACACAGAAAAGAAAGAGATTGAGATATGACAAGTTCATTTTCAGGAGCATCAGTGACAATATGGAATGTCTTTTACACTGTTTCTAGTCTCCTTGCTCTAATATCCATAGGTCCTAGGACAAGGAAAAGGTCACAAGAAGAAAGCTTCTAATCTGTTGGCCACCCTTGCTTAGAACAGACGAAAACCTTAGGAAAGTAAGAGGATGTGTGTATGATGCTCCCCTACAATGGGCAAAAGAGGAGAGAATCCTATTTGGAGCAAGGAGGAGGTAGCCGAGGGTAAAGAGAAGTGGAGCCCTTGGGAGGAAAAATATGCAGTTAATAGACCTTGATTCTGCTCCTCACCCTCCAGAGCTTTGCCTCCACTGGAGGTCTAAACCCACTGTCACCTTTAGTGGAGTCCTCATCTCAGGTCTGCAGTTTTATGAACCCTACTTAAGGGGAGAAAAGACATCTGAGTTGTCATCCACAGTGAAAAGTACAGTGTGGTCAAGGGACTTCAGAATCAGGAAATTAGACATGGCTGCATTTGTGAGTACCTACAAACTCAGGTTCATTTTTAAAATTGACTAAATTTAACCTAGAATGCTGGTGCATGTGTTGGTTAGGTGCAGTCATAAAAAACTGCATTTAATCTTTTTTTTTTTAATTTTAAAAAATAAAAGAAGGAAAACATATTAACAGACAGATATCCATTTACAAAATAGCATAAGAATAATACAAACAAAACAGAGTTACAGACAAAGTTGTAGGAAATTAACCACGGTTGTTGTATTATTTATTAATTTTCAAAGCGGTTTATTAAATTTATTAAATTTCAAAGTGGTTTCTCAGGAAAACAAATAGAGATATATACAAGATTGATCAAACAAGTAATCATTAACTGTTCCTTTCTGTAGAGCAA